AAGCATGGTCATGATAAGTAAACAAATCAAATAATTAATAATCCTTGTCAAGTATAAATGAATTCCAGTGACTTTCACATTAACAGTCAAACAGTCGGCTCAACTATATTATAATGTCAGAAGTAAAATATTTTTTTTAATTGATACAATATGGATTACAATTTATAGTAATCTAAATATATTGATTTTAAAACCAGTCTAATGCGCACATGCAGTGGTTGTCTTGTATTCAAAACAGCAAGTTCACATGCACATTAAAAAATTCACAACAATACATGAACGTTGTAAAAGATAATGTTAGTTATGTTTACTTTGTTACACTTACTTCATCACGTGGATCTTTTTCCACACCTGCTTTCATGAGTATTCCTACTGTGGAATCACGTCTATTTTCTGCAGCCAAATGAAGCGGTGTCCGATATAACTGGAAGACCAAGTGCATATTGATAACAAATGAACAAACGCGCACCATATGATAGAACATGCATATATAGCAACACGCATCATGTGTGTTGTCTTAAACTGAAATGTGTAACCAAACATATTGTACACACAAGACACCACATTGGTACAGTAATTTTATTATGACTTTTAGGAAAGTAAAACATTCAATACCTAATATACATTGTTAATTTATATTTTGAAATATTCTTCAGTTATTATGAGAAACTGTCTGAATATTTGTATTTGTCCCTTACGTATCTTAACGATACAATGTGACAATCGCGTACGTTAGTTAATATTCTTATTCTATGTAATCTAAAAACGTTGATTTTTAAAAAGCCACAACAGTATACAGAATTACATGTTTATATATTATCCAAACAAAGTACTAAAGGTTGACTGTAATGATGGACTGCATGGCGTAGTGTGACATTCGTGATGAAACAAACACTCCAATGTACCTATAGTGTCTTGTAGTGTGTTGTCTTAAACTGAAATGTGTAACCAAATATATTGTATATATATCATATACTTTGCAATGAACCTACTATATCAATGGAGCAGACATCATGACAATGTGTGCTGGAGCACAACACATCATAATCATCTGGTCTAAGCAGGGTCAAGATAAATCAAAAAGTCGAATATTTACGGCACAACAATCATTGGTCGAAAACGAATAAATTCCAATGACTACAACCATAATTATAGTCGGCTCAATTCTATTAAGCAAGAGGTAAAATAATTGTCGGTAATAATTTTAATTGATACAAATGTTGATGAAAACATTGGATTATAATGTATAGTAATCTAAATATATTGATTTGAAAACCAGTCTAATGCGCACATGTGGTGGTTGTCTTGTATTCGAAACAGCCAGTTCACATGCACATTAAAAAATTCACAACAATACATGAAAGTTGTAAAAGATAATGTTAGTTATGTTTACTTTGTTACACTTACGTAATCACGTGGATCTTTTTCCACACCTGTTTTCAGGAGTATTTCTACTGTAGAATCACATCCATTTTTTGCAGCATAATGAAGTGGTGTCCGATTCCACTGAAAGACAAAAGGGCATATAGCAACACGCAATATGTGTGTTGTCTTAAACTGAAATGTGTAACCAAACATATTGTACACACATGACACCACATTGGTACAGTAATCGTATCAGGATTTACTAGAAAAATAAGGCATGTAATACTTAACATACATTGTTAGTTCACATTTTAAAATATTCTTCAGTTATTATGTGAAACTGTCTGAATATTTTTAGTTGTCCGTTACGTATCTTAGCAATTCAAGATCATAACCGCGAAATTCAATTAATGTCCCTATTCTATGTAATATAATTAACGTTGATTTTAAAGTGCCACAGCAGTATACAGAATTACATTTTTTTATATTCAAACAAAATACTAAAGGTAGACTAATGATGAACCGCATGGCGCAGTGTGACATTTATGGTTAAAACACTCCAATGTGCCGACACAGAGTCGTACAAAGCCATAAAATAAATAAAAATAAATATATTCCCATGTACTTTGCAATTAACCTACTATATCAATGGAGCAGGCCTCATTGACAATGTGTGCTTGAACACAAAACATCATAATCACCCGATGTAAAACAGGGTCAAGATAGGTCAAAAATTTACGTCACAACAATCATTGGTCGAAAACTAATAAATTCCAGTGACTACAACCATAATTATAGTCGGCTCAATTCTATTATGTAAGAGGTAAAATAATTGTCGGTAATAATTTTAATTGATACAAATGTTGATGAGAAAATTGGATTATAATTTATAGTAATCTAAATATATTGATTTCAAAACCAGTCTAATGCGCACATGCAGTGGTTGGCTTGTATTCAAAACAGCTAGTTCACATGCACATAAGAAAATTCACAACAATACATGAAAGTTGGAAAAGATAATGATAATTATGTTTACTATGTTACACTTACGTCATCACCTGGATCTTTTTCCACACCTGATTTCAGGAGTATTTCTACTGTAGAATCACATCCATTTTCAGCAGCCAAATGAAGTGGTGTTTTTTTCCACTGAAAGACAAAATGTTTAATGATAACAGAAGATAATACCAAATTGTTGCAGCAATAATATATTCACAAGTAAACCTTATGCGCACCATATGATATAACCTGCATATATAGCGTATATAGCAATACGCAATATGTGTGTTGTCTTAAACTGAAATGTGTAACCAAACATATTGTACACACAAAACATTCACATTGGTACAGTAATTTTATTATGACCTTTAGGAAAGTAAAACATTCAATACTTAATATACATCGTTAGTTTATATTTTAAAATATTCTTCAGTTATTATGAGAAACTGTCTGAATATTTGTATTTGTCCCTTACGTATCTTAACGATACAATGTGACAATCGCGTACGTTAGTTAATATTCTTATTCTATGTAATCTAAAAACGTTGATTTTTAAAAAGCCACAACAGTATATAGAATTACATTTATTCATATTCAAACAAAATACTAACGGCAGACCGTAATGATGAACCGCATGATGTAGTGTGACATTTATGGTTAAAGCACTCCAATGTGCCGACACAGTCATACAAAGCCATAAAATAAATAAAAAATAAGTATATTCCCATGTACCTTGCAATTAACCTACTATATCAATGGAGCTGGCCTCATTGACAATGTGTGCTTGAACACAAAACTTCATATTCACCTGGTCTAAACAGGGTCAAGATAGGTCATATATTTACGTCACAATAATCAATGGTCACAAAACGAATACATTCCAGTGACTACAACCATAATTATAGTCGGCTCAATTCTATTATGTAAGAGGTAAAATAATTGTCGGTAATAATTTTAATTGATACAAATGTTGATGAGAAAATTGGATTATAATTTATAGTAATCTAAATATATTGATTTCAAAACCAGTCTAATGCGCACATACAGTGGTTGTCTTGTATTCAAAACAGTCAGTTCACATGCACATTAAAAAATTCACAACAATACTTGAAAGTTGGAAAAGATAATGTTAGTTATGTTTACTGTGTTACACTTACGTAATCACGTGGATCTTTTTCCACACCTGTTTTCAGGAGTATTTCTACTGTAGAATCACATCCATTTTCTGCAGCTAAATGAAGTGGTGTCTGATTACTCTAAAAGACAAAATGTTTAATGATAACAGAAGATGATTACCAAATTGATGCAGCAATAATATATTCACAAGTAAACCTTATGCGCACCATATGATATAACCTGCATATATAGCGTATATAGCAACACGCAATATGTGTGTTGTCTTAAACTGAAATGTGTAACCAAATATATTGTACACACAAAACATTCACATTGGTACAGTAATTACGATTTTTTCAAGAAAATTAGTCATTCAATACTTAACATACATTGTTAATTTATATTTTTAAATATTCAGTTATTATGAGAAACTGACTGAATATTTTTATTTGTCCGTTACGTATCTTAACAATACAATGTGATAATCTCGTACAAATGTTAATATTCTTATTTCAGAATGGTGTTGGGAAAAGATGATTACAATTCAATGTAATGTTATGTAAAAATGTTGATTTTAATGTGACACAATAGTAACAGAATTAATTTGTTTGCAAATTATTCAATCAAAATACAAAAGGTTGACCTTAATGATGAATCGTATGTCGTAGTGTGACATTTATGGATGTACCAACACTCCCATGTGCCTACACGGTTGGATACAAAGCAAGAAAATAAATAAAAACAGATTTCCATGTACTGTGCATACGAGGCGCGGAATGTAACGTTATTATTTTGTGTATAAATGACTGATGTGTGTATGTATTCGTTAATTATATGTGCATTAAAAATGATGCATATATTTTAAATGGCGTGTGTATTAAAATGAAGTATGTTTTAAAAACTATGTATGTTTGAAAAATGACGTGCGTGTATTAAAAATGATGTGTGTATTAAATGACGCGTGTTTAAAAACGACGCGTGTGTTTTAAAATGGCGCGTGTTTTAAACATTATATGTATATTAAAATGACATTTGTATTTTAAAAATGACGTGTTTGAAAACGACGTGGGTGTTTGTAAAAATGACGTGTGTGTGTTCGAATGAAAATGTGCGTGTGTAAAAAAAAAACGGGTGCATTAACCTTTTTACCCCTGTGGAGGGCGCTATCTTCGAATGATTTTTTTCGTGTGTGTGTTAACAAAATCGCGTGCATTAACCTATTCACGCCAGTGGAGGCGTCATCTCAAGTGGTAGCCATTTTCGTTTGTGTATTTTTATAACGTCAATAAGGTACGTACAAAGGAACGTGCTCAGCACGAACGTTTCATTCATTCGGCCCTATAAATTTAACAACTTAAATAACATGAGTAACTAAGATTTGTGGTGTAATAATAAACTGTAGGTTTAGCATAAACCTCACAACATTTCTATGAAATGTACAATTATTACACACACACACCATGTTACATGGTTCTTTTTCAACATTTGCTTTCAAGAGTATTTCTACTCATGAATGGGAAGAACACAAAGAAAAAGTCAAACAATGAAGTGGCACTACAGGTCGAATGGAAAGAAATGATACAAAAACTAACCAAACTCAAATGAACAGAAACCTCCGTAATTTTAAAACCTGATCTGCCACATATTGATAACACGATTTTCAATAAATCTATATTCAGTTGTTACGAACGGGAATATGAGCTAGTCTCCCGCGACCTGGCTGCCAATATCTCGCACTCCAGAACGCAACACTAAAGGTCAAACAAAGGCACACAGTCAGGATATGTCCAATAATACTAATTTAATAATACAATAAGCATAAACCAGTAACAGGAGTGATATAAATCACAAACCGGTCAACAATATACATCACAATAAATATAACATTAATGATAATAGCCCAGCTCGGAATTGCCTACCCTACCTAAGTGCAGAACTCGTACTGCGTAGCTTCAGCGATAGTACAGTTAATCACAGCAACGTCGACGGCGATATCAGTTCTACAGCTCCAAACTACGAGGTCTCGGGGAATGCAAATTACACGACACTGACCGTAATGTTACACGACTTCCATACCGTCTGTGCAGAGAAAAGACCAATATCAGCAAACCACGCGTTCTGGCGAAACACAGGTCTTTGAATAAAGTTGGTTTTACAGCGCAGA